TATATATATATATATATATATATATATATATATATATATATTCATAATAAATATATAAATATATTAATAATAAATATACATATTTTTCATGCCCAATGCAATCATCAGGTGCTTCTATCTGTCTATCTATCTATCTATATATACATATATATATATTAAAGACATTTTTATGTTTAACGTTCTTTTTATAGATACAAGTATTTAAGTAAATGCTCTGTTTATAATAAACAGTATTAAATAACATTTACCAGCCTGAATGTCCGAGAAATTTTCATAGAAAATATTCGTCCTTTGACAGGATTTGAACCTGCATCCTATACAGAACCGTCATTTACGCTGACGTGCCTTAACCGTCTCGGCCACAAAGGAGCGTTCGGTAGGCAAGGTCAAATTTACTGCTTATAAACTTCAATCTTCCATGAATCTCGTACATTCATAACTGCTCTGGCGTATCAAATGTAAACAAATGACGTCATATATTAAGAAATGGACAAAGTTCGACAATTTATTTATTAAAGACATTTTTATGTTTAACGTTCTTTTTATAAATACAAGTATTTAAGTAAATGCTCTGTTTATAATAAATGTTATTTAATACTGTTTATTATAAACAGAGCATTTACTTAAATACTTGTATCTATAAAAAGAACGTTAAACATAAAAATGTCTTTAATAAATAAATTGTCGGACTTTTGTCCATTTCTTAATATATATATATATATCTATATATATATATATATATATATATATATATATATATATATATATATATATATAGAGAGAGAGAGAGAGAGGTAGAGAGAGAGAGATAGATAGAGAAATAGAGAAATAGATTTACCAGAATATATGTATAGATAAACATATGCGTATATTTGTCTATCTCTTACTCCCTCTATACTTGTGTGTCTGTGTGTGTGTCTGTGTGTGTGTGTGTGCCTTTATATCTGTGTGTGTCTGCATGTGAGTTAGGAAGAGAGATATATGTGTGACTGATATACAGAAATGAACTGATTGAGGTAGATTTGCATTAAGACTAGATTTAATACAAAGTGCAATAACACAATTGCGCATCCATTAAGAACAGCATTAAAGTGTTGCATTGGTGTAAATGTCCTGTGCAGATTATCTGCATTACTTTTCTTTTATATTTTCCTTAAAGACAATTCTTAAATCCCCCATATCCATAAGCATCTTGATTCAGATCAAATTTGAAGCTTTAAATGGAATGTCTCTCCAGGAATATTCTTTACAGGTGCATTAGTGTAAAGAAGTGTCTGGGAAGATCTTTGGAGTTAGATCATTGGAATGAAAGTTACTAGCTCTATAGTTCAATTTCCTATACTGCCTCCTTAGATTCATATATATATATATATATATATATATATATATATATATGTATGTACTAGCAGTAGAGCCCGGCGTTGCCCGGGGATGTAACAGTAAGAGATAGATCAAGTATCGACCATCATAAACACTGAAAAATGAAATTGATAAAGATTATTGTTTAAGGTTGACGGACACGCATGTCTTAATTATTTTTTTTTTTTTTTTTTGTTTTTTTTACAAATTGGTCAAACCCAAACTCAAACAAAAACATTGTTTTCAATTGTTATGAGTCTACCAATTGAATAGAATTTTACTATAAACAATTGTCTTGTAAATCGAATTTTTAAAGCATTCTGAATGTAAAAATAAAGAAAAAAGTGTGCAAGACAATAAGAAACACTACCTGCCAAAAAAAGTGAAGTTTTGTTGAAATCGGTTGAAAAATGTAGGAAATCCGATCCCATATATAAATGAACACGCACACACAAACAACCTGGGTTTTATAAGTATAACTCGATATGAGTTGTCCCCCTTTCATTCTGGTGACAGAATCGTGTTTTATCATGTTTTCAAATTGATTACATGCAAAAACTATTGTGTTTTTCCAATTTTTGGTGCTGTCAGAACCACCGTAAGGTAATTTTACGCAGTTCTGTGAAGTTTTGTTGAAATTGGTTGAAAAATGTAGGAAATCTGATCCAATATATAAATGAACAGACACACACACACACACACACACAATCTGCGTTTTATAATAAGTAAGATGTATAAATTGAATTAAAAACAAAGAATCAACAACTCTTGGCAAGTTAACATCAGGGTTTAAGTAAATGGATTTAATAAATAGTCACCATGCCCATGCTATACTGTTAAAATCAACCACTGTTCATCCACATAACTCAAGAATTTGCTAAGACACGATGTGGGATGATCTATAATTATGCATATATTTTCTCATTATTTGAAAAAATTTTCTCTAGAACCCAAATAGACAATAAAAATGCTCTTTTCCATGCCAGCATTTTAATAATATGTAGTACTTAGTATTTGATAATTTATCAGTCTATACTTATAATTTACAATCATCATTTTTACCTAGAAAACACACACATGCTCTCTCACACACACTCTCTCTCTCTAAGACACACACACACAAACAGATAGATAAATAGATAGATAGATAGATAGATAGCAAACATAGAAATCAATGCTACATTGTAACCAAATGGTGGTTGTGTGTGTGTGTGTATGTATATATATATATATATATATATATATATATATATATATATATATATATATATATATATATATATATATAGATAGATAGATAGAGAGAGAGAGAGAGAGAGAGAGAGAGAAAAATTTTCAGGATTTGACACCAAAACCTCCTAAATCATGTTACCTGTTAAAATCTTCATGCTGGAACTTGATGTACAACTACTTCACAGGTGGGTATTGTAGGCAATTGTCACCTAATATATGTGTTATACACTCATGGACTTTCTTTGCTGGCTTTTTCTTCTATAGGAACAGGAAGTGCATGATGGCCTTGGAGTTACTTTTTGGAACAGTCTTCTGTGTGGATACTTCCCCAATCATTATGTTATTAACTTCTTCAAGTCAGCTGTTATCTATTCTATATATCCTCATAATATGCATTTCTATCTCCCTTCCTTTAAGTCCTTACAAAATCCTCATCTCTCTACCTTCAGTTGCTCCTGAGCCTTGTATTGGGTGGACAATAGGGTAAACAAAAAAAAAAAAAAAAGAATAAAACAGTTCAAAGATTTCCCTAATATTATACAAAAGAAAATTCCAGGAACTTTTAGATCAGACTAATAATATGTCTTATCTTCCTCTAAAACAGAGTTTCCCGCCATTTTTTCAACCAGCACCCCCTTTAGGTACAAACCTTTTTATCAATGCCTCTCTGTCAAATTAAATTTCTAATATTATATTGAATTCATCTTTCATAGCAACATAACACTGAGGTATTAGTGTAAAATTAATTTTAATATTGTTTTCATTTCTATTATAAATGCCAATGATTAAAATGCTAAAAAAAACTTTTATTTGATAGCGTGTCTCAATGTTTTCAATATGATGGTTGACTTTGGTGCTTACTACTGGCTAAGGCTCTTACTCTAGGTTCCATGATGTTTAGAAGGAAACATAGATCTCCATGTTTTGTAATTTGCAGGCAGTTTCTTTGTTTAGTAAGAGTAACAGCATTGAAACCACATTCAGCCATATAGGAAGTTTGAAAAGCAATGAAGAAAAATAGCTTCCCACAGCTTTAGATACCTTTCAGAAATTTCCTTTTGTAGTCAGTATTGAATAATTTTTGAATATAAAAAAAAATGGACAAATGCCCACCGCCCCACTAAGTATGTTCAGTACCCCCATCCAAATTAAATAAAAACTTCCATTGCCCCCTTTTGACATAACAGAACCCAAAAACATTAGCATTCACATTGGGAAACACTGCTCTAAAATTACAAATACATAACACTTCAAAGATTTCCCTAGCATTATGCAAAAGAAAATGCCAGGAACTTTTAGATCAGCCTAATAATATGTCTTATCTTGTCTAATAATTCCTCTAAAATGACAAAACCATACTTTCTTATCCAAAGATTTTACAAATTTATTGAATTTCTAAGTGTGTGTTGATTCTGAGGCCATCTCTTTTTCAGTCTGCCAAACTATCAAGTTTTTCTCTTCCCCATTTTCATAAAAATAGGACCTTATGTTAAATATTTTAGTTGATGAGGATGTTTGCCCAACACATAACTTTGATCGGCATATTTTGTTGTTGGTACTTTCACATCTTTTAATGTAAACACTGAAAAATGAGCTTGATCTCAAATCTCTCACCCATCTGCTCATTAGGAGAAAGATCAAAATGTAAGAACTCAGAGGAATTATTTTCATAACAAAATTTATTTAAGATTGAAGCTGCCAAGTTCAGTTTGTTTGCAGAGATTAGAATTTCTGAGGTCACTATCTGATAGAGGAAGGGTAGAGTGACGGTGAGTGGGGGAATAAAATGAGACGATGGGAAAGAAGATGATATGAGAGAGGGAAAGAAAGTGTTAAAGAAAAGGAGAAACAGAGCTAAGAAAGAAAGAAATGATTAGAATGTAAAAAAGAAGAAGAAAAAGAGTGCAAAGAAAATAGTGGTGAAAAGAAAAAAAGAAAAGAAAGATGAAAAAACAGTGTAGTAAAATGGAAGTGGTAAAGCAAATTAAGAGACTTTGAGATAAAGAAAAAAAGGAAGAAAGCAAGATAAAAGCAAGCAAGCAAACAAGAAAGAAAGCGAGGAAAAAGTCAAAAGAAAGAGAGAAAGAAGGAAAGAAAAAAGAAAGAAAAAAGAAAAAAAAAAGAAAATTATCAATAGTATAATAATAATAGTATAAAAAAACATGAAGGAAAGCCAAGCTTTAAAAAAGAAGCAAGAAAGATAAAAAGAAATGATGAGAATGCATGAAAGAAAAAAAATGGAGGGCAAAGAGAATAATGGTGAAAAGAAAGAAAGATAGAAATGGTGTGAAGAAATAGAAACAGTAAACCAAATTAAGGGAGTGGGAGAAAAGAAAGATGAAAAGGAATAAAATAAGAAAAAATGCAAGAAAGCAAGAAAGAAAACAGGCAAACAAGAAAAAAGGCAATCAATTAATTAAGCAGGCAAGCAAGAAAGAAAGAAAGAAAGAAAGAAAGAAAGAAAGAAAGTGGTGAAATGGAAACAGTAAAGCAAATGAAGAGAGTGGGAGAAAAAGAAATAAGAAAAGTAAGAAAACAAGTAAAAAGCAAGAAAGAAACAAGAAAATTAGCAGCCAAATAAGGAAAACATGAAGTAAATCAAAGTTGTAAAAAAAACAAGAAAGAAAGAAATGATGAGAAAGAAAAAAGAGTGCAAAGAAAGAAAAGTCATGAAAAAGAAGAAACTACAAATTATAAGAAAAAAAATAGTAAATTACATTAAGAATTAGAAGAAAGAGAAAGATATAACAAAACAAAAGAAAAAGAAGGAAATAAATGAAGGAAAACTGTACAAATGAGAAAGAAAAAAAGAAAGAATACAAATTGTAAGAACAACAGAAGAGAACAAAATTATCATAAAAATGAAAGAAAAAGAATTGTACAAATAATCAAAAAAATAAAACAGTGTAAGAAGAAAGGAAAAAATTATGAAACAAATAAATAAATACGGAAAAAATAAATAAACAGAAAATGAAGAAAAGAAATAATGAATAAAAAAGAGAAAGAAAGAATAAAACAGATGAAGGAAAGATGAAAGAAAGCAAGCGATAAAAAAAGAACAAACCAAAGTAAACAAATAAGAAACTGAAGAAGGTGAAGAAAAATGAAAGGAAACAAATTATGAACAAAAAAGAAGAAAAGTCTTAAAGAAAAGAAATAAAAATATCTAGAAATGAAAAAAAGACATTAAATTAATTAAGAAAGAACAACAAAAAAATACTGAAGAAAAAGAAACATATTCATCTCTGTTAACAAATATGAAAATGTCTGAAACAAAAAATAAAATAAAAATAAACATTAATTTTTTTCCTCCCAACTAAAAAATTAAAAACATTCTGTATTATATCTGAGCAGCCATTTTGTTTGAATTTTTCATTTATGACTTCAACCAGTGACAAGCAAAAATAAAGTTACGCTTGAATTTTTGGCTCAGGAATCATTAATTTATTATAAGCCACATCTGTTGTTCAGTTATCTTTCCATTTTTTATACAATCCTGAAAGTGAAATTATCATTCAAGCAGATCTTCAGATGTTTTTTTCTCATTTTTGGCCAAGAAATAATTTAGTTAAAGTTTGTCTTAAATTCCTGAGGGTAATAGAACAAATTTGGGTAACCAAGCTTTATAAAACATATTTCAGAAGATTCTCGCTCAAAGTCAGCTTCTACTTCTTCTTCTTCTTCTATTTCCATATGTACCATGTCCCTTCAGGATGTGGGCATTTGTAGCTCACCACAATTTCCTGTTCTTTGTAGCTCTTAGTAAGGTTTGACTTTTAGTTATCTAACCTAAACTGTGTTCTACCAACAACCTATTTATATATGTTATTCATTGCTTTCCTTTGCTTTTCTTGCCTTCAGTTTGTCTTGTGATTCAATTATTAGTTGAATATTATTAATTTTTTATAAGTAGAAGATCTTCTTTATGTGCTGGGTCCCTTCAGTGTATTGTTGATTATGGCTCTTCACAATTTCCTATGTATCTCTTAGCAATGTTTCTCTCTTTAATATCCATGCCATGCCTTGTTCTGCTATCCATTTAGACAAGCATGTTAGGTTACTCAATGTTTATCTCTTGCCATAAGTATATCCAGTGAGTGTCAAATTCTCCAAGCCCACTTTCTTCATTATGTACACTAGAAATTTCAATTGTCTCTTTATGATTCTAACTGTAAGTGTCATTGTTGATTCCATTTTCCTTTGTCATTTCTTATATGTTTAGTTCATGTTATTCTCAGTATCCTTCTCTAGAACCACATTTCTTTTACCTGAAGTCTCTTCTTCATCTGACAGATTGTTTCAGGCTTAAACACAATCGTCAGTCATTACTATCATCAGGCCATGTGCACATGGCCTGATGATAGTGTTTACATAGGATAGTGTTTACATAGAGAAATATACAGATCATACATACATACATATATATATATATATATATGTGTGTGTGTGTGTGTGTGTCTGTGTGTGTGTGTAAAACTAAACACTGAAATCAACACTCAAAGGCAACAGAATGTTTTACATATGGTCTATCCCTGATATTGAGCAATTTATTCCATAAATATAGCACACCTTAAAACTATATTTCATAATATATATATATATATATATATATATATATATATATATATATATATATATGATTTGCATTTTTCTTTTCTTAGTGCTGTATTTTATATACTTTTAAAAGAGCTTTTTAATAGACACAATAACATTGTTCATTTAGCCATTAATAGACTGTTTCACAACTTTCAAAGCTACCAAACAACCATTTTGAAACTCACACGGAAATGCATGAAACAGACTGTTAATGGCTAAATAATCAATGATATATATATATATATATATATATATATATATATATATATATATATATATATTTTCTAAATATCAAGAACAGTGTTAGGGAAATTGTATGACAATCGGACTAAATCATCAGACTAAATTTTGTTAAAATAACAAAATTTAGTCCGATGAAGTCCTGAAAGACGAAACACATCACAAGTAAATTTTTTCTATATTATCTTAGAATTTCCTCTACACACACACACACACATATATATATATATATATATATATATATATATATATATATATATATATATATATATATATATATATATTATTTTAAATGTTATTTTTAGTGGAAAATCATATTTGAGCAGGCACTCCGCTTATTTATTAAGCAGTATATATATATTTTTTATTTTGTCTACCAGCCTGAAAATAAATAAATATATTGTGTCATAAATAAATGGGGCATTTACTCAGATATGAGTATCAACTAAAAACAATATTTAAAGTGATAAAAATCTGGTTGATTAATAAAAGTCTATTACTTGAATATATATATATATATATATATATATATATATATATATATATATATATATATATATATATATATTATGTGTGCATAGATATACTTATAGGTAGAGATATAACGACTTTGAGGATGAATCTTTCTTTTAACTTGGCTTTCCTTCACATTTTCCTTATCTTGCATCATATTTACTTTCTCTTTACTTTATTTTCTTTCTTTCTTTCTGCTTGGGCCACTGGACAGAGTATTACATTTCTGCCTGTAAAAAAGGCTGAGATGTTGATTTATATAAATAACATCCACTTCTATGAGTATCAATCTAATGTCCGATTGTTCAGACAATCAACACCTACCCTCTACCGAGTTGACTACACACAGTGGTCTACCCTCTCACCTCACCTGAACTCCCCAGTAGGATTCCCTTACCTATACACACCAAAATAAAATATCTTCCCCCGCACAGAACTGTGGAAGCATTCTGTGCATGTTCATACTACATACATACATACATATATATATATATATATAGATAGATATATAAGAAGTGTACACATGGATTCCCTCATTTTACTTTTACTTCTCTCTCTCTCTTTCTTTACAGATGCACACGCACACACACTCACACACATATATGCACATATGTGTGTGTGTGTGTGTGTGTAGTGTGTGTATGTGCATGTATAAAAGCTTACATTGCGAATTGTTTCTAGATCTCTCTGTGTTACTGCGTATGCATATTGTGCAGATATCTGCATACATATACATGTGAAAACTATACTTACATATATGTCTGTACAGGTATATTTACATACCTATGGACATGTAAAAAATGTGTGCATTATATATATATATATATATATATATGTATGTATGTATGTATATATTATACGCTAACATACATATACATACACATGTGTATGCTTGTGTATTAGCATGCCTGTGTATTAAGTGTATGTTTAAATACATATATATATATATATATATATATATATATATATATATATATATATATATATATCCCTATGCATATAAACCTGCACACTTATGTATGTATATAAAATACATACATACATATATGCTCTTGATATATATATATATATATATATATATATAGGTATATTTCTCTGTGTGTGTGCACATATATGTAACATGAGTGTATGTGTGTGTGTGTTTATATATATATATATATATATATACACACACACATACATTTATATGTATATATATCATATGGCTATATCTTAATGCACAGTCATGCACATATGCATGCACCTGCAGATGTGTATGTATATGTGCATGTGAGTGTATAATACACATATGTATATATATTTCTATTTATGTATGTATATTAGTGAGTTTGTGCAACATGAGTGACAAATGCCATCAATAAAGTAGAGAAATCACGTTTTTCTTGCTCGTCTACAAACACTCCTGTGCAACCTTTCTAAATTTGGAACCAACCCACCTTCATCTCGAATGTAATCCACAGTGCACTTCTTTGCTCTTACCCGCCTATTGCCCAGTAACACTACCAATAAAAATCCTGTCCATCCCAGGACAAAAAGAAAAAAAATAAATAAATAACACCACATGTCTTCCTGCTAACACTTCCCCATGCCATTCTGCTGTCCAGTGGCACTTACCGATTCCATCCAGGGCCTCATTTGTACTGGTCAGCCATCAGATGCAGGGTTTGTACAGTGCCAGATGGTGGGTGAAAAACAAGGGGGGCATCTCTGCTCAGAAACAAAATATTTGTTAACAATCACCTCTAAAGGGAAGGGTTAGAACAGGAACCCCAATTCAGTAGCCAACCACCCCTTTTATCCACATTTACCCCAGCTTTTCACTCATGTCATGTACCTAGGTAAGGTTGGGAAAGCCCAGAGATGAAGGTGGTTGTAAGTATGAGGCTAAGGTAGGTATAGATTTGTTGTTATTGGGTTTGAAATGTGGGTAGAGGATTCTCGGATGCTGAGTAGGGTAGGTGACTCTAAGGATGAGGAGGTTCGCTTGAGTAATACCAATCATAGAATTTTTTTGTGATTTTTTTTCCTTTCTTTCTATTTATTTTTATCTTTTTTTTTTTTGATGGATTGTGCTCATCAACAGAAAGTATTTTCTAGAGCAGCAAGCACAATTTATTCCAAAATTAATTCCTAGGTGTTTTTAGTTTGTTTTCTTTTTTTTTTTGTTGTTGTTGCCTTTTTGTTTTTCCTGTTTAGACATGAAAGAATGAAAAGCAAAGGGCAACACAGTTGTTCAGAGAAATCGGAGCAAGTTCATTTCACGCAAGTTTTATTGGAAAATATTCTTTGTTTTGATGCATTTGTTTTATTATACCTTTTTTTGTTTGTTTGTTTGTTTTTCTCAGCTGTTTTGTGGGGAAGGAGGAGTTTGAGTTTTATTATATATATTTTTTTTCTCTTTTTTTTATCTATAGTTCCAAAAAATGTTTTTTTTTTTTTTGAGTTTCAATCCCAACTTCTTATTTTTTGCTTGGTTGGATAATAAGACTTCTTTTCTGTCTTTACTTACTTTTCAAATTATTGTTCATTCATATTAAAATTACAACAAATGCTTGTCATTTATTTTTTTATTTATATTATAAATTTATTCACTTGTTTTATTACCTTTAATTTATTTATCTGTATGTATATCTAGGATTTCTGTTTGTTTTATGAGGATTTTTAATACTTTTTTGGTTTCAGGTGAGTAAAGGTAAGTTCTAGGTAAAAATCTGCTAATAGAATGATCCAGCATCTATTGATGGGGAACAAGGAACTTTCAATCCTGGATATTTTCCCATTCTTTTATAAATGCTTTTATTGAAGCAAAAAAGCAAAATGGATATCTAATCAACCAGGAACTCCAATAAGCACAAGCAGTAAGTATTTTTATTGGCTTCACAGCATTCATGAATCACTGACACCTTTATTCCTGAAACAAAACTTAGTCCATTTATTCTAAATACACTCAACTTTTTGGTGCTACTGAGCTCACAAAGTGCTGGATCAGTTTTGTTCATAATTCTATATTAAAATAATCATCAACTTTTAAATAAAGGGAAATATATTAATATTTAATTACTGTCTAATAACTAATGCTAAAACATTGTATTTCCCATCAGATAAGGCATTATTTTTTCCAAAACCATCTTTCAAAAATTCTTCTGCATCTAGATGATAGTTTTCATGATCACAATCACAAATCCCATTAGAGCTGTAGATATACCACATGTACTATTGCTCTAGTAGCAGTGGGTGTGTCTAAGGTAAGATAGCCTGAGTGATTCGGTTCCTTTTCAGGCTAGTTTTGAATTGAGAGTTCACTTTCTCTTAGAATGGGTGCTACCTAAGGCCCAAGAACTCAGTCTGTCTTGTTATTTAACCAATAACTGATAGGAGAAGAGACATTAATACAAAAGTGAATGCAACAGAGAAGACTGGAATTTGAACTTTGATACCACTTTCCATGACAATATCCATTACACTGCCCACACATTTACTAGTTTCATAGATAGTAGATTTCCCATCTTCACAGAGAACCTTTTCAGCCTGCCATCAGCATATGACTGATGTTACCCCCTGGTGAGCAATACTTTATACCTTCTTGACCTCACATTTTCCACTGACATGAATCAGTTGCTTCGTCTACTGCAAAAAAAAAAAACTTGGTTCACTGTGTTGTGCCAGAAAATTTTTCTCATCAGAATTCATCTTGCACATAAATAATAGATACAAATCTACCATCCCTCCATGCATTGAATACTCTTGCCATAACTGGTCTGGGCCCTCAACATACATCTGGAGATTCTTGGCAAAATTCAAAATAAGGTTCTGTAATGTTATCGATCCTGACTACACATCTCGACTTAAGTCACTTTCTCACTGATGTAATATGGCTTCTCTCTGTCTTTTCTACAAATTTCATGGCAATGGTTCTTTTGTGCTTTTTTCCCCTGGTGTCTCGATTACGTGAATTTAAGTATACTACAAATATTGGCAACTAGGTCACAACATTTTACTGTTAAACTAGTTAGATGCAACTACCACTTCTATTCTAACAGTTTCTTTTCCTGCACTTCTCACCTGTGGAACTTCCTTCCAATTTCTTGCTTTGTTAATTGCTATCTTCTGTCTTCTTGAACTCTGTTCCTTCTTTCTCCTTTCCTCAATCCCCACCACTAAAGGCTTTTCATTCTTTTTTACTCCCTGTAACCCCCTTCATTCTAGTCACATTACCCGCTTGTGTGGAAGCGAAGCGATTAAAGAAAATAGTCCAATAATCTTAAAAATGATTAAATTATGATTAGAAATAAAATTATACAATACATATTAAAAAATAAAAATGAATTTAAAAAAAAGTAAAACAAAAAATATAAATAAATTATTAATATAAATAAATAAAAAAGTAAAAAAAATATAAATAAATAAAAAAGTGAAAAAGTAAAAAAAAAAATATATATGAATAAAAAATATAAAAAATAAAAAAAAATTTAAAATATGTTTAAAAAAGAAATGGATAAATTATTAGTTCTTTCTAAGTGGAAGATTTTTTTGTGCTGTATCCCTTCAGGATATTTTTGATCATGGCTCTTCACAATTTCCTATCTTTTGCAGCCCTTTGCAATGTTTCTCTCATTTATTCAATAAAATCACCATTGGCTTCAAACATGGCATCCAGATGACTTCAGAATCTCCTGCATCTCTTCAGGATGGTCTCCTTGTTTAATTTAATTGGTGGATGCTACCATAATTCTTGCCTTCATTTCATCTTTGGTGTTACAAGGAGTTTTGTTGGTGTTTTGCTCAACTGGGCCCCACACATAATAATCAAAGGGGTTACAGTCTGATTCGTTAGGTGGCCAAATGTAAGGGATAATGTGATCGCAGAAATTGTCTGACAGCTATGACTGGTTTCACCTGCTTGTTTATCATGGTGCAAAGTTTTTTTGCCAGATAGGTCTTCCAGCAGCCACCCTTTTAACCCAGGGCAGCACTACCTCCTCAAGTCACTTGATGTAAGCCTCCATATCTGAGTCCCTCACCAATGAATTTGGGAATTCTTGTCTTATCAGAATGATCAGAGTAAGTTTTCTGAGCTGCCATACCTTCGTAATCACCATTACACTCATCCAACTCTTTCCAAATCCTCTGCACTGTCCTCAGATTGACACCCAAACACTCTGAAATGTATGTATTGGAGTTTCTGGTGCAAATACCCAACAGTACAACATGCCATTTCCAAATTTATGATGGAGTAAATTGTGTCATGGTGCACTTTTTCTTGCAGATGGTACCCAAGTGAGCCTACTATACTATGTAATCAACAAAATAAAAAACAAATGACATGTATGCGCAAAATTAAAAATATAAAATGGTGGCAATTTTTATAAAAAATATAAAATGGCGGCAATTTACCTAATGAACCCTGTACATATATATGGCTGTTTGTCTTGCTGACAACTATACATTCTCGCATAATCTTCATACATTTTTTCTTCCCAGTTTCCATACAGCTTTGTCTCAGATTTCCTACAGTTTTTGTTTTGTGTCTGACATCAACAAGATAGCATTTAGGTATCTTTTGTTGTTAAGATTGGGCTCACCATTAATAAATCCAGGTAGAACTTCTAGTTCTCATAGATGCATATCTCTATATCAGACTAATAGTGAATAATCTTTAGCATTTTCAATATAAAACTGTAACCAATGTTTATTGTATTCCTCACCTCTTCCCATATAAGATGATAAAACAATTATTAGTGTGAAAAAGCTACTTCTGAGAATCAAATGCATTATAATATTTATAATTATTGTCATTCACTTATGCACTTTTTCCTAATTCCATGTTACATGCCACTGTGCGGTATAGGAAATATGATGTAATCTCAAAATTAATTTTATCTGTTTACACTATTTACATTGTTCAGACTGTTGTCCTCATATCTATTGTCATATTCACAATGTTTTGGCCATTATACACTCTGGCCTTCTTCAGTTGATATTACTTGGAATTTTTAGCTGAACAAATTATTTAGTTGACAGGGATAGATTGTTCTAATTCTCTATTTCCCCTTGTGTTACAGCCTTACGGCATTTCTGCCATCTTATCTTAAGTGTTTTTTGTGTGTGTGGTGGGGGTGCCTGTTTTTCCTTTATATTTTTTGCCACAGCTGTACAGGCAGGAACATCGTAAGGTCATAACACAAAGGGAAATAAGGAATTAGAACAATCTACACCTGTGAAGTGAAAGTTTTGGGTTGAAATTCTAATATCACCTGAAGAAGGCCACATTGTACAACATCCAAAAAATTGTGAATATGGCAATAAAGATGTAAACAACAGTCCAAACAATGTAAATAGTGTAAATAGTTACAATACCTCATCTCAGAAATATAGTCAGTCAGTTATGTGCCATGCATGATACATGCTTAGGTGATCATGTATCTTTCGATACATGGCTGACAAGACTCGAATCAAGGCTGGAATCCGAACTCGGCTCTCTGATTCCTCAATCCAAGCCACTATCCATTACTCCACTGTGCCTCCAGAAATATAGACAGATGTTAATTTTATCTGTAAATAGG